ATGAACCTTGAGCTTGTTTGTAACATTTGCGCCTTCATGCGCCGTCACAGATGCAGACGGTCTCACGCCACAATAGGCTGAATAGCGTTAAGGGTGGAGTAAATGATAAGAATATCAATGTTAAATATGAGATTAAATATTTAGCGCTCGAACTGAACACCAGATAAACGATAGATATCATAACGTCCCCACATTATTTAAAAATTTGGCACAGATGCAGACGGTCTCACGCCACAGTAGGCTGCATAGCGATATCTATCGTTGCTACGTATCAGCTGATCAACTTCCCGCCTGTGACGTTCGACTATGAATAAACTGACACGAGTGTCTGGTTGAAACATGTTCACATTCATAACCATATGCTAGGGATACGGCAATAGAATGATAGAAGATTATGATATATAAGAAATGATAGAGATGCATATTTTTAACGGTATTATTCGGCACCTAAATTTAAGGAAATTGTAAGGTTTGTAGGAAACCATGCCTGCACTGGTTCTTAGACACATCGAGTTAGTTCATGCTATGTTGCCTTAGCAGCTGCTTGATCTCACGCCTTAAACTCACTCACAGTAAAAGAAGAACAGCTCGGCGTTAAAAAAGCTATAAGGTGACATTCTATAAACGCAAGAGATCACAGTGAGAACTGACATAGACAGTGTATAAGCTCACGAGAACCCTTGGTCACTTCCCACTCGCTCACAATAGGGTTGACAAAATACATTGATTCCTCACATTAGGATTAACAGAATACACTGATTACTTACAATATGGTGAATAGAATACACCACTTCCTTGCGATAGCGTTAAGGATACTCTCAACCTTTTGCACGGGTATTGCTCTAATAAAGATTAAACGTTTATTGACGAATGAATCGAATAACTCACTTGTTTTATTTATAGAGGAGATATATCTCTATGGTCAAGGCAAAAAATTTCATGAAATTTCCAGCACCTAATTATGTTACCACAAAAATTTTGATTTTTTATGTAAAAATGGTATTTTGAATATTTCTCAATTACCAGAAAGAGTGAGGATACAAAATTTTCGCCACATGTTAAACACAATATGTACCAAAATAGTACATCAGGATTTTTCTTTAAGTTTCATATTTACTGAGTAAAAAAAACTGCTTAAAATTCAAGTTGCACGTTTGAATTAAAAATCTTTGCGAATAAAGAGACATAACTCATAAAATACGGCACTTAATAACAATCCCTGACGCACTTTTTT